GGGGGATTTTGGGCGAATTTTTGGGGATTTTTTGTGGATTTGGAGAGATTTTGTAGATTTTGGGGGGAAATTAAGGGAGTTTAGGGGGATTTTGGTATTTTGGGGGGAGTTTTTGGGCTGCAAATGAAAAAATAACTATACAAAGGGTACAGAAACAGCAATCAAGTAGTTGCAGTAAGTTCCTAAAGTAACTGGGATCAGTAAGTTCACAGCCACTGCCCCATGGGCAGTCTGTTTATAATTAATTTATTAGTTTGAGAGGGGCTGGGGGGGATTTTTGGGATTTTGTAGATATGGGGAGGATTTTTGAGGGGATTTTTTGGATTTTCGTTTTTTTGTGGGGATTTTGGGGACATTTTGGGGGGAATTTTGGTATTTTGGGGGGATTTTTGGTTTTTTTGGGGAGATTTTTGGGAGTTTGGGGGAGGTTTTGGGGGGAAGCTGGGAGATTTTGGGAATTTTGTGGGAATTTTGGAGGGATTTGTTGGGAATTTTGGGTTTTTTTGGGGGGAATTTTGGGCTGAATTCCCCATTTTTCCAAGGGTTTTTTTAATGGGAATTTCTCATTTTTCCCCCCAATTTTTCCCCGAATTCCCAAATTTTTCCCCGAATTCCCAAATTTTTCCCCGAATTCCGTTCCCAGTTTCCACGACGATCGCTGGGAGCCGCAGCCGGAGCCGCCCCCCGACCCTGAGACCCCCCAGGTGACCCCAAAATTTGGGGATCCCCCCGGGATTTGGGGATTTGAGATTTTGGGATTTGGGATTTGAGATTTTGGGATTTGGGATTTTGGGACTCCTGGGATTTTGGGGTTTGGGATTTGCGAATTTTGGGATCCCCTGACGATTTGGGATTTTGGGGTTTGGGATTTTGGGATTCCCAGGAATTTTAGGATTTGGGATTTGGGGATTTTGGGGATTTTGAGATTTGGGATTTTGGGATTTTTGGACTCCCCAGAATTCTGGGATCCCCCTGAAATTTTGGGACCTCCCCAGAATTTTGGGATTTGGGATTTTTGGATTTGGAATTTTTTTCCCAAATTTTTCCCCGAATTCCCAAATTTTTCCCCGAATTCCCAAATTTTTCCCCGAATTCCCAAATTTTTCCCCGAATTCCGTTCCCAGTTTCCACGACGATCGCTGGGAGCCGCAGCCGGAGCCGCCCCCCGACCCTGAGACCCCCCAGGTGACCCCAAAATTTGGGGATCCCCCCGGGATTTGGGGATTTGAGATTTTGGGATTTGGGATTTGAGATTTTGGGATTTGGGATTTTGGGATCCCCCAGAATTTTGGGATTTTGGGACTCCTGGGATTTTGGGGTTTGGGATTTGAGAATTTTGGGATTCCCTGACAATTTGGGATTTTGGGGTTTGGGAAGTTTGGGATTTTGGGATTCCCAGGAATTTTAGGATTTGGGATTTTGGGATTTGAGATTTTGGGATTTTGGGATTTTTGGACTCCCCAGAATTCTGGGATCCCCCTGAAATTTTGGGACCTCCCCAGAATTTTGGGATTTGGGATTTTTGGATTTGGAATTTTTGGAATTTGGGATTTTGGGATTCCCCAGAATTTTGGAATTTGGGATTTTGGGATCCCCCAGAATTTTGGAATTTTGGGACTCCCAGGATTTTGGGTTTGGGATTTGCAAATTTTGGGATTCCCTGAAGATTTGGGATTTGCGATTTTGGGATTCGGGGAGTTTGGGATTTTTGGAATTTGGGATTTTGGGATTCCCCAGAATTTTGGAATTTGGGATTTTGGGATCCCCCAGAATTTTGGAATTTTGGGACTCCCAGGATTTTGGGTTTGGGATTTGCAAATTTTGGGATTCCCTGAAGATTTGGGATTTGCGATTTTGGGATTCGGGGAGTTTGGGATTTTTGGAATTTGGGATTTTGGGATTCCCGGGAATTTGGGGATTTGGGGATTTGGGAATTTTGGGACTCCTGGGATTTTGGGATTCCCTGGAATTTTGGTATTTGGGGAATTTGGGGATTTGGGATTTGGGAAATTTGGGGATTTTGGGATTTGGAAATTTTGTAAAATTTGGGGATTTTGGGGATTTTCGTATTTGGGAAATTTGGGGATTTGGGATTTGGGATTTTGGGGATTTTGGGATTTGGGAAATTTGGGGATTTTGGGATTTGGAAATTTTGTAAAATTTGGGGATTTTGGGGATTTTCGTATTTGGGAAATTTGGGGATTTGGGATTTGGGATTTTGGGGATTTTGGGATTTTGGCATTTGGGGATTTGGGATTTGGGATTTTGGGGATTTTGGGGATTTTGGCATTTGGGAAATTTGGGAAATTTGGGGATTTTGGGATTTGGGATTTTGGGGATTTTGGGTTTTGGGGATTGTGGGGATTTTGGGGATTTGGGAAATTCGGGGAGGAAAGCATTTTGGGGATTTTGGGGATTTTGGCATTTGGGATTTGGGATATTTGGGAAATTTGGGGATTTTGGGATTTGGGGATTTGGCATTTTGGGGATTTTGGGTTGTGGGGATTGTGGGGATTTGGGGATTTGGGAAATTCGGGAAATTTGGGGATTTTGGGATTTTGGGGATTTTGGCATTTGGGAAATTCGGGGATTTGGGGATTTTGGGTATTTGGGATTTGGCATTTTGGAAATTCGGGGATTTGGGGATTTTGGGTATTTGGGATCCGGGGTTCCCACGCCCCGCGCCGTTGCTCCCGCAGCTCCCAGAGAAGGTTCCGGAAGGCGCCGGCGCCGCCCCGGGGGTCCCGGGGGTCCCCGGCTCCCAGGAGGACTCGGACCAGTGGGAGGACGTGAGCGGGGACGAGGACGAGGAGGAGGAGGAGGAGGAGGAGGAAGGGCCCCGCGCAGACCAGTGCGGACCAGTTCAAACCAGCGACCCCCCCGGTGCGTCCCAGTGCAGACCAGTTCAAACCAGTTCAGAGCAGTGCAGACCAGTTCAAACCAGTTCAGAGCAGTGCAGACCAGTCACCATCCCAGTTCAAACCAGTTCAAACCAGAGACCCCCCCGGTGCGTCCCAGTGCAGACCAGTTCAAACCAGTTCAGACCAGTTCAGAGCAGTGCAGACCAGTCACCATCCCAGTTCAAACCAGTTCAGACCAGTTCATACCAGCGACCCCCCCGGTGCGTCCCAGTGCAGACCGGTTCAAACCAGTTC